CTTCGGGGAACACGTGGGCATCTTGAAGGTCATCTTGGCCGTCTTGGAGGCCTCTTGGGCGATCTTTCAGCGATCTTTGGGGGCTCTTGGGCCGTCTCGGGCCGTCGGAAGGCCGAAAAGAAGGAAATGTCAAAATCCGTCGAATACCTACCTTAGGAAAATCGTCTGGGAGACCTCTGGGGCGCCTCTTGGGCCGTCTTGGGCCGTCTTGGACTCTCTTGGGACGTCTTGGAGGCCGTCTTGGACCATCTTGGGCGGACTTGGAGGCCATCTTGGACCATCTTGGAGGCCATCTTGGGCCAACGTGGCCATCTTGGCACCATCTTGAGCCATCTTGGAGGATTTTTTCCGGATTGAGCACCTTTCCGGGTGGCCGGCGGGACGGGCCGGAGCCCCAATGGGAGTTCTTTTGGAAAAAACCAAAATCAAACCGAGAGGATCTAGCACGCCAGGCACCCCTGCGATGAATCGACAGGGGGCGGCGGATCTAGTGGCCTTCGGCCCATCGCGCCACCGTGCCTTGGTTGTGGGTCAGAGGCGTCTTGGATGTTCGTTTGGGTATCGTGGGAGGCTTCTCGGGGGCCTCTGGGGGGCAATTTTCAAGCCTCTTGGAGCCCGTTGGGGGCTGCCGTCTGGCTATGGGTTTCCCATCATTCAAATATTAGGAATAAAAAAATGTTGGGATACCGGTGGGCCTGTGCGTGGTCACTACCGCCAGTCAGGGCACCCCCGAGGAGCCTTGCCTCTCCAGTTTCCCGAAGTTCGGAATTCGAACCATGGAAACCTGGAATCACCATAAAACAATGTGTTGTGGAATCGTGGGGAACCTGGAATCACCACAAGCATATGTTTTCGTGGTGATTCAAATGTCCCCATAATTCCGAATCATGGGAAACCTGAAATCACCACAGAAAACAGGTGGTGAATCATCAAAAAATATGTTTTTCGTGGTGATTGCAGGTTTCCATGATCTCTACATGGCAAACCTGATATCACAACATAACATATGGTTCTTCGTGGTGATTCCAGGTTTCCCGTAATTCGACCCCCATCAGCGGCCTCTCCCCCCTGGTTTCCCGAAGTTCGGAATTCGAACTACGGGAAGCCTTTCGAATTCTGGGAAGCTGCCATCCACCGTTCTCCGAAATTCCGGCTTCGAATAATGGGAAACCAGAAATCACAACGCAATGCACCGTTGTTAATTCAGAAGTATGCGAAAAGTGGAGCCATCACAAAAAATGTGTTCATGGTGATTCCAAGTGTTCCGCAAATATGAGAAATTTGGAATCACCACCAACAGAAATTGCTTTTCGTTGTGATTATCTTTTTCTTGGAATTCGACCCTCCCTGCGGCCTCTGCCCCCTGGTTCCCCGAAATTCGGAATTCGAATGACGGGGCACCTTTCGAATTCTTGGAAACTGCTACACCCCGCGTCCCCAAATTCTGAATTGGAATTATGTGCAACCTGGAACCACCACGAACGACACACTTTGTTGTTGTTAATGGGATGGCCACGCATCCGAAGTATGGGAAACGTGGACTCACAACAAAATTTCTATTTCGTTGTGATTCCACGTTTCCCACAACTCGGAAGTATGGGAAACCTGGAACCACAACAAAAACATGTATGCTGTTCGTGGTGATCCCAGGAGTTCCGTAATTCGACCCCCGAGCGGCCTCTCCCCCCTGGTAACCCGACAATCGGACATTGAGATACGGGAAACCTTTCGGATTCTGGGAAGCTGCCACCCCTCGTTTCCTGGAACTCGGAATTCGAATTATGGGAAACCTCGAATCACCACGAAGAAATGCCTTTGTGGTGTTTGTTCCAAGTTTCCCATACTTTGGAAATCTGGGAAACCTAGAATCACAACCAACAGTGATACCGGAGAGAAACCCCAATCAGGGCTATAGGGCTAGGGGGCTATAAGGCTACAGGGCTATTGAGCTCTAGGGCTATAGAGCTCTAGGGCTATAGAGTTGTAGGGCTATAGCGCTATTGGGCTTTTGGGCTATAGGGAACCCCCGGGCACCCGGGCACCCCCGGGCACCCCCGGGCACCCCCGGGCACCCCCGTGCACGCCCGGGCACGCCCGGGCACGCCCGAGCACCCGGGCACCCTGGCACCCGGGCACCCCTGGGCACCCCCGGGCACCGGGGCGTGCAGCGAAAATCGGCGGCCAACCTCACCCCCGGGCACCCCCGGGCACCCGGGCGTGCACCGAAAATCGGCGGCAAACCTAACCTAACCATATGAAACCACTAGGACCCCTACAGAGGCAAGCTCTGATTGAAGAAAAATCGATCTCGTGGCGATTCCAGGTTTCCCGAAATTCGACCCCCTCAGCGGCCTCTCCCTCCGGGTTCCCCGAAACTCGGTATTCGAACTACGGGACACCTTTCAAGCTCCGGGAACCTACCACCCCCCGTGTCCCGAACTGTGGGATTCAATTGGTGGGAAATCTAAAACACAACGAAAAACACACCATTTGTTTGTGGTGATTGCCAATTTCCCACAATCTTGAATTATGGGGAACCTGGAATCACAGCACCAAAAAATTGTTTTCCGTCGTGGATCCCAGTTTCTTATTACTCGGAATAACGTGAAATCTCCGATCACCACAAACAAATCTTTCGTGGTGAGTCCAGTTTTCCTAAAATTCGATCTCCCCAGCGGCCTTTCCCCTCGGGTTCCCCCAAATTCGGAATTCGAATTAAAGGAAACTTTTCGGATTCTTGGAAACTGCCACCCTCCGTTCCCCGAAATTCCGAATTCCAATTATGGGAAACCTGAAACCACAACGATAAACATCACTATTTTTGTGGTGCCTATGGATTTCCCATAATCCCGAATTATGGGGAACTTGAAATCACCACACAAAACTGTTTTTCGTAGTGATTCCAAGTTCCCCATTGTTTGACCACTCAAGAGCCTCTCCTTCCTGGTTCCCCAGAACTCGGAATTACAATTATGACACACGTGGAATGGAATCACACGCAACAATTGTTTTTTGTGGTAACTCCAGGTTCCCATAATTCGAATTTAATTTCGAATTGCAATCAACCGGGGGGGGAGGCCATGGGGAACGAGGTGAAGGTCCCGGTGGGGCCCCCGGCAGTCGTCCCGCAGTGGTCTTTGTCCAAGAATTCGGGGCTATGGGAATCCCATAACCACAACAAAAAATGCTTTCGTGGTGATTTATCTTTCCCATAACTCGTGGGGGTCATGGGTTTCCCATGGTTCCGATGTATGGGGAACCGATCGCCAGACAACTGCCCCGTTTGGGGGCCTCTCGGGGCTCCTTTTGGGCCTCTTGGGGGCCTCGTGGGGACTCAAGGGAACCGCTTGGGCTCTCTTGGGGGCCTCTTGGGGCAGAAGGCTCGAATTGTCAGTTCGTGGTCCCCTCTTGGGCCCCCCTTGGGGCCGTCTTGGGGCCCTCTTGGGCGCCTCTTGGGCCGTTTTAAGGCCCTCTTGGACCGTCTTGGGGCCCTGTTGGGGGCCTCTTAGGCCGTCATGGGGAGGTCTTGGGGGCCTCTGGGGCCATGAGCGTCGGACGCCCGAAAACGCGAGAACGCGAACAACATAGAAAGACACAAGGAAAATCACTGAGGTGTGCCTGCCTATTTGGGCCCTCTGGGGGGTCCTTTTGGAGCGCCCTTGGGGCTTCTTAGGGGCTTCTTTGGGGCCTCTTGGGCTGCCTTGGGGCTACCTTTGGGCGTCTGGGAGCGCTCTTGGGCTGTCTTGGGGCCCCTCGAACCCTCCTGGGTGCTTTCTGGGGCCCTCTTGGTTTGTCTTGGGGCCCTCTGGCTTCGAGAACAGACATGCGAGGCAGCCCAGGAACGCGTGGGAACGCCCAGGAAATGTGAGAGATTGAGGCCCCAGCCTCTCGAATACGATAATCCCAGAGTCCTGAGTGGAGAGAACAGAGGACGCATGAGGACCTGGAGAACACTCCACTTCGTGCCTCGCGGCACGGTGGCGGATTATCACGATCATTATCATTATCATGATTATTAATATTAGTATTATTATTATTAGTAGTAGTAGTAGAAGTAGAAGTAGAAGTAAAAGTAGAAGTAGTAGTAGTAGTAGTCGTAGTAGTAGTAGTAGTAGTAGTACTAGTAGTAGAAGTAGTAGTAGTAGTAGTAGTAGTAGTAGTAGTAGTAGTAGTAGTAGTAGTAGTAGTAGTAGTGGTAATAATAGTAGTAGTAGTAGTAGTAGTAGTAGTAGTAGTAGTAGTCGCAGCAGCAGCAGCAGCAGCAGCAGGAGCAGCTCAGCAGCAGCAGCATCAGCAGCAGCAGCATCAGCAGCAGCAGCAGCAGCAGTAGTAGTAGTAGTAGTAGTAGTAGTAGTAGTAGTAGAAGTAGAAGTAGAAGTAGCAGTAGTAGTAGTAGTCGTAGTAGTAGTAGTAGTAGTAGTAGTAGTAGTAGTAGTAGTAGCAGTAGCAGTAGCAGTAGCAGTAGCAGTAGCAGTAGCAATAGCAGTAGTAGTAGTAGTCGTAGTCGTAGTAGTAGTCGTAGTAGTAGTAGTAGTAGTAGTAGTAGTAGTAGTAGTAGTAGTAGTAGCAGTAGCAGTCGTAGTAGCAGTAGTAGTAGTAGTAGTAGTAGTAGTCGTAGTAGTAGTCGTAGTAGTAGTAGTAGTAGTGGTAGTAGTAGTAGTAGTAGTAGTAGTAGTAGCAGTAGCAGTAGCAGTAGCAGTAGCAGTAGCAGTAGTAGTAGTAGTAGTAATAATAATATTGGTATTATTCCTCCACCATCTCCTCCTGATCCCCTTCCTCCTTTCTTTTCTTTCTCCTCCTCCTCCTCCTCCACCTCTCATCGTCCCTGTACTCCTCTACAGGGACTAGAGAGAGAAACGGAGACAGACAGAGAGAGAGAGAGAGGGCGAGAGAAACAAAACACACGAGATACAGACAGTCAGAAAGAGCGTTGGCGGGGAGAGGCGTGGACATTCGAGAGGAGCGGGGTGACAAAGCGCTAAGCACATGGGATGGCACACGGTCCTTCCCGCGTCTGCTCGGGCTCGTGCTGTCGCTGCCTCAGAGGCCGGGAAGTAAGAGGGAGAGAGAGAGAGAGAGAGTGTGAGAAAGAGAGAGAGAAAAGAGAGAGAGAGAGAGAGAAAGAGAGAGAGCGCGGGAGGGAGGTAACGATATAGAGAGAGAGGGCGACAGAAAGAGAGAGAGAGAGAGAGAGAGACTGATAGATGATATTGCTGCTGATGGTGGCAATGGGGGATGAGGAGGAGGAAGAGGAGAACAAGGAAGAGGAGCAGGAGGAGAAGGAGGAGGAGCCCACGGATGATTCCAGAGGATTCGGAGGAGGAGGAGTAATAGCAGGAGGAGGAGGAGGTGGTTGGGAGGTGGACGTGTCTATGGGGTGGAGGAGGAGGAGGAGGAGGGCGGCCATCTTTCAAGCCCCCTGGATTCAATGTGTGGCCCCACTCTGGCCTTACCGCTGCATGTTTTCTCGTGGTGCAGTGCACCTCACGATTTACCGAATAGTAGCGCTTCCTCACTCTGTGATGCGTCGGCGGGCCTGCCATATCTTTGGCCTGTCAGCTAGTTTGAACCACCAACATCAACAATACCGACCATCACCCATCCTTGCTCATGATCGCCATCCACTATCGCCATTACATGTTTTGTCTCGTGGTGCAGAGGACCTTACGGTTTCCCGGCCTAGTAGCGCTACAGCACTCTTCAGCCGCACTGGCTAGGCAGCCATCGCTACTGCCGACTGTACTCTTGATTCTGGAGGTGGGGAATGATTTGGTGGAGAAGGAGAATTGACATCTTGCGGGCCCCCCCTGGACTCAAGGTGCGGCCCCACTTTAGCCTTACCGATCCATATGTTTTCTTGCGGCGCAGTGCACCTTACGATTTCCAGATTAGTAGCGCTACCTCACTTCGGGTCTGCCACTTGGCCTGCAAGCAACTGTAAGCAACAAGCCTCAACCATGCCGACCAGGCAATCATCGCGACCATCGGCTGCACGAGTGCGACGTGTGGAGGGAGGTCATGGGACGGGTGGTGGTGATCGGGGGGACTGACTTCTGGCCACTTTGGCCTTCGGCCGAGGGGCCTCTGCCCCACGGTGGGCCGCCGTACTCAGTCACCTCCCACCTCACGCTTCCTCGTGTCCATCTTGCGTGCGGACTTGCACTTCACAGTCGCCTACCCATCGGTCGGAAGAAGTAGGTAGAAACATGAAGTAGGAAGGCGTTGGAAATAGATTGGGTTTCCGCACGCCTCCTGAAGAGGAGGGAAGAGGGAAAACCACTCGACTCTTGAAGTAGGAAGGCGCTGAAAGTAGATTGGAATCTGGGAATCCAAAAATACCTACTTTCAACAACCGAGGGGTACGTGCGGACTTGCACTTCGCAGTCGCCTACAGGCCAGCCGGCACAGTCTGTCCTCAGCCGTTCCGCAGAGCCGGCCAGCACAGCCTACGCACAGCCACCCGTGTTCTGCTACTGCTCGCGCTCTGCCCTCCGCCGCCTATGGAGGCCAGCCAGCACAGCCCGTGCCGGCCTGGCTCACACAGCAACTGTGCTAGCAGCTCCTCCTTGCTCCTTCCTCCTTCCTCCTCCTCCTCCTCCTCCTCCTCCTCCTCCTCCTTGCTCCTTGCTCCTTCCTCCTTCTCCTCCTCCTCCTCCTTCTCCTCCTCCTCGTCCGCCTCCGCGTGGCCCTGTCCTCCTATACCACTCGCCGCACTGGACATGCTCACCTGCTTGACTTGACTGACTATGGCGTGGAGGGGATGGGGTTCATGGTGTTCGGTGTGGGGGGATGTGGAGGCGTCACAGGCTAGTCATACCGTATTCGCACTGCCAGCGACTGGCCAGCCTGAATACGGTGAGCAGCAATAGGCCGGCCACACTTGTGCCAGCCCCAGCAAGCCACTTCGTACTGCCTACCGTATGCCAGTCAGTGCTGCAGGTGGCATCAGAAGCCAGCCACATGAATACCTTAGGTCGCTCTATTGCTTGCCGAGGTACAAAATCGGCACACCTTTACTGTTCCTCTCTAGCGTCGCCTGCTTTGCTCCCATTGTATGGCAACTCGTTGCCTTAGACGCGGCACGCCTGGATAGATAAGGGAAGGGTGGTTGAGCACTGTTGGAACAGGACGATGAAGATGGAGGACGTTTCGCACTGCCAGCGACTGGCCAGCCTGAGTGCAGGAAGCAGCAATAGGCCAGTCACTTTTGTGCCAGCCGCAGCAAGCCACTTGGTGGGCATCAGTACTGCAGGTGGCATCACAGGCCAGCCATCAATATACTCTAGATCGCTCTATTTCTTGCCGCACTAGCAATCGGCAAATCTTTACTGTTCCTCTCTAGCGTCGCCTGCTTGCTTCTTTTTCATTGCAACTCTATTTCTGAGACGCTGTACGCCTGGACAGATAAGGGATGGGTAGTCATGCATGCCATAACGCCATAACATCGTCTGAGAGAGGGTATCGAGATAACTCCAGACATTGCAGCGATATTCTTGTCTACTGCTGCAAGTGTAGATCGTCCCCTGATCTTTCATGTCGGCTACATTGGGTCGTTACTCAGGTTTTCGGTCGTTCGCTCCCCCCTCCTCGAAGACAACCTGGCTGCCGCATACTCTGTTCCCTTGTGGCCCTCTTCTTTTCCTGATCTGTTACATGCCATTTTCTGCTGCGCCAGCCAGGTCTATTTTTTCACACCGCTGAACTGTTTTGTTGTTCTGTATTGCACCCTATAACGCTCCATGCAGTTGCATCAAGTCCGCGCAACGTCACAGAAGGAGGAGGAGGATGAGGAGGAGGAGGAGGAGGAGGAGGAGGAGGGGAGGAAAGGAGTGAGGTGGAGCGAGGGGGAGGGATGGGAGCGGCAGGAAGAGGAGGGGGGAACCAGGTGGCAGATTCGACGAGGACGGCAAGGAGGAGGACGAGGACGACGAGGAAGCAGGAGGAACAATGAGGAGGCAGGATCGTGACGGCGGACTCGAGGCCAGGCACGTGAGAGAATGATGGCACAACAACGCGCTACGAGCACAGCTGCGGAATTAAACATTGAGTTGGGCTGGGGGGTCAGGTCTGCAGAACACCCCAAACGGACGTCAAGTGGCGCAACCAACCTGTTCGGTCAAGCTGAAACTGATGCACCACACCCGGCGTCAAGCCAAAACTGTGGACATAAGCGAATGCGTGGAGTTTGCACATCTTCGTCGGCTTAATCGGCGAAGCGTTTGACCACCTTGACGTCCCTTTTTTGGTGGTCCTGCAGAGGCATGCGCTCTCTGACCTTCGGTCCTGCTCGAGCCAAGACTGCGGCCGAGGAGCAAAAAGGGCAACTCTGGGAGATTGCCAGGAGGAAGCGGAGGAGAAGGCCGTGGAGCACGAGAATGCTGGCGAGCAGGAGGAGGACAAGCACTTGGGGCGTCGCTGACGATCTAGGGGCCAGGGGAGGGCCCCCGAGAAGCAGAAGATACAGAAGACATCCCGAGGCCCTGGAGCATGCTGCCGGCCTCTCCGGGCCCTGCCTCCTCAGTCGGCTGCACGCAGGAGTGACCCTGGCCAAGAAGTGGCCTTTGGTGCGCGGCCTGTGGGGGGGGCGCGAGGGGGCCAAACCCTCAGCGCGCTTGGGCGATCCCGGGGTCCCAAGCGTGCAGCTCCACAGGTCACGGTCTGAGGCTCCATAGCGGCAAAGCTCGAAAGCTCGAGGGGGGCGGCCTTCCAAGAAAGCAGTCGTCGTCGTCGTCGTCGTCGTCGTCGTCGTCGTCTGAGGCCCCAGGGTGCCAGCACAACAGGTCGCTCTGGCGAATGGCCGCTGCCGCGTGCGGCCGAGCCCAGGAGTGGCCCGGGCTTCTTCCGCCCAGGGCCCGCGTGCCAGGCGGGCGCCGCTCGGAGGCTGGCGGCGCCCACGGGTGGGTGGCGCGAAGGGGGACGGCCTGCCAGTGCGGCGGAGGGGCTTCCGTCTCTCTGTGGGAGGCTGCCTCTTGGAAGGCGCCAGCCCTACATCTTCAGACAAGGCCCGGGCCTTCTAAGAAGCGGGGGTGCTTCCAAGAAGCCTTCCCCCCTCCCCCTGCTCCCCTCTGCGCGTGGGCGATCTCTGCTTCCCGGCGGAGGGGCCTCTTGGTAGAGTGCAGGGGCCCTCCTGGGAGCCCCAAGGGGGCTCCTGAGATGAAGGGGCCTAGGTGCACACAAACGAATAGACACGAATCCCAGGATTCCCCCTATATGTTTTCATATGTTCTCGATGTTCGTCTTCCCCCCCCCCCACCACTTCCCATATTCTCCCACATCTCAAGGGCATCGACGATCATTCGTGTCTGTGTTTTTTCCCCTCCTGAGAGAAGGCTTCTCAGCAGCCGCGCAAGCTGCTAAGAACCCCCCCCCCTGCCTTCGAAGCCCCACCCGGCCTTCTTGGAAGCCCACCCCATCGCGCCTCCCCCCCTGGTGGCGCCTCCGCGACGGGGAGGCGGGCTGGCGGGCCCGCGGGCGGGCGGCGGACGCATGGTGGGCTTGCTTTCCATCGCCACCACCTTGAGCAGGAGGGGGAGGGGATCCTCCTCCTCCTCCTCTTCTTCCTCATCCTCATCCTCCACCTACTTCCCCCCTCCAACTTGTGGTAGGGGTGGTGGAAAGCGGAACCATCAGCCCATCGACGCTGAGGCCGCCGCAGACCCTCGCCGGCGGCTTCGGGCGCGGCCGCAGCTCTCCTGGCAGGGCGGCAGCCGGGTCGGGCTTGACGGACCTCCGGGGGAGAGGGACACCTCCGAGGCACCACCGCCTGGGAGATCCATCTTCGCGGATCTCCACAGGCGGTGGATATGGACGTGTAGATTGTCCCCTGTTCTTTCATGTCGGCTACATTCGGTTGTTACTTAGGTTTTCGGTCGTTCGCTCCCCCCTCCTCGCAGACAACCTGGTTGCTGCATTCTCTGTTCCCTTGGGGCCCTCCTCTTTTCCTAATCTGTTGCATGCCTTTTTCTGCTGCGCCAGCCGGGACTATTTTTCACACAGCTGAATCGTTTCGTTGCCCTCTCTTGCACCGTATAACGCTCCATGCACTTGCATTAGGTCCGCGCAACGTCACAGAAGGAGGAGGAGGAGGGGAGGAAAGGAGTGAGGTGGAGCGAGGGGGAGGGATGGGAGCGGCAGGAAGAGGAGGGGGAAACCAAGTGGCAGGTTCGACGAGCACGGCGAGGAGGAGGACGAGGACGACGAGGAAGCAGGAGGGACAATGGGGAGGCAGGATCGTGACGGCGGACTCGAGGCCAGGCACGTGACAAAATAATGGCACAACAACGCGCTACGAGCACAGCTGCGGAATTAAACATTGAGTTGGGCTGGGGGGTCAGGTCTGCAGAACACCCCAAACGGACGTCAAGGGGCGCAAGAATCCTGTTCCGTCAAGCTGAAACTGATGCACCACACCTGGCGTCAAGCCAAAACTGCGGACATAAGCGAAAGCTTGGAGTTTGCACATCTTCGTCGGCTTAATCGGCGAAGCAGGCGGTGGATATGGACGTATTCGGGCCCCCAGGGGCCAAAATATGTCCATATCCACCGCCCGCTGGGGCACCAGGACGTCGGTGCCCAGGCGGTGGATATGAATTAATTCCCGCCTCGCAACACAGACCTCCGACGACTATCGAAATTCAGCGCTGCGCCTCGCCGTCCACCCGTGGGGAAACAGCAACCGCACAGTGGCCCGTGTCGGTGCACCACCTCCTCTCGAGCTGCGCGCGCTGGGCAACCTCTGCCTCGTGCTGTGGGAAGGACCGCTTCGAAATCCACACCCGTCCACCACGTGATCGTCGTCGGCGCAGGCATCAAAAGCACGAGACCCGACCCTCGCACACATATTCTCGGCGAGTCCTCGGGGGCCGTCGCCAGGGTCCGGGCGGTGCGGGCCGAGACGACCGCGCACACGAGGCTGGTCGAGAGCTTCGGGGAGGCCTGCAGGGGCCGCAAGATCCCCCGACGGGCGCCGCTCGGAAGGACACACTTTGAATCACCGAGGGGGGTGCTGAGGGGATAGAGAAGCTGCAGTTGGATGCGACGGTGGTTTCTACCTGGCACCGGTTGGCCTGTAAATGGGTGACGAGTATCCGAATGGCTTAGGGGAGTAAGGGAATGGGCCAGGCGGACATCGCCAACTACGCGGAGCTGTCCCCCATCCCCATAGCCACTCAGGGCACTTGCAATCCACTTGTAGGGTAAGTTCTGGTATTTGTAACCCACGTTAGCATCCACTTATAGCCCCTCCATCCCCTTGGCAACCCCTGGGGTGATCTCAGAAAGATGCTCCAAAAAAAACTTCAAAGATGCCCGGTCCCTGGGCGGCCCCCAAGAGGCGTCGCGAAAGCTATGCACAGCAAGGATCGAACCACGTCTCGGCGCTCTGCTGTGGCGTAGCTTCCGCGAGCGCGTTGGCAGAACCGACTCGGCACTGCCGTTGAATACCATCAACAAGCGCCTGCAAAGAACTCCGGCGCAGGCGGATGCGCATGTCTTGTCGGCGCTCCGAGGGGCGGAAGCAGGTGCGGATACCGCTACTCCACGGAACTCTCTAGGAGAGCTTTCTAACAGAGGGCGAAGATTGCCGTGGCGACGGGGGAAGTGTATCGGCATCGGTCGATTCTCAAAGCAGCGCTTGCAATCAGGAGCTCCTCCTCGTCTTGCCCGAGGAGCCGTGGTCTCACCGCGCAGGGGTGTGTCACGGTTGCGCCGTGTTGCTGCCAGTGCCGCCTCGTCGGCACCTCGTGCGCGCCCTGCGTTTGAGGGTCTGCTGGGTGGTCGCCACGCTGCCGCCCGTGCCGCCTGGTGGGCGGCCTGTGCGCTCAGCCTACACGGCGTAGCTCGCTTACACCGCACAGCTTCTGCCGCACGACTGCCTCCGCATCGCTTGCGTGCCGAAACTTCCACCACAGCGCTGGCACAGCACAGCTTCTACCGCATCGCTCACACAACTTGAAGGAAGCAGCACCTACATCGCACAGCTTCTCGTCTCTGGGAGAACAACTTGTACCCCCATCCCCCCCCCCCCCCCGGACTTATCAAGCCGGCCCCGCGCATTGCAATCTAAAACATGGCCCAGCCTGGTTGTTCATGTCCCCATGGATCCATACCATCCGAGCCACGCCGGAGTTCGCCCCCCCCCCCCCCCCCTCTCATCCTCTGCGGTGAATATTAAGCGCGCGCGCTCGTTTTTCACGAATACTCAATTTCCAAAAACCCATTGGAAACAACTGGGCGACACACGCGCGCGCGCGTCGTCGCACGCGCATGCCGACATGTTTCACAAACCAAGGGATCCGTAAGGATTTCACAATCGAGAGTCACGCAGACATAAAAGCAACATGGTTTTGCAACATCACTTGTCAACAAAGCCTGCGCCCGCACTCTTGCGAAACCGTAAGCAAACCACCGGTTGTGTTCGACAAAGTTATATCAAACGGGCCTCTCGCGCGCACATGTCGGAATCGTTCGAACGCCCTTGCGCGCGTGCTGTCGGAAAAATCCCTTGCAAACAACGGGACGTTGTGCACACGCGCACGTCGTCGCGCGCGAATGCCCCGAACATATGTTAACTACACGCGGTTGTTCAACATCGTTGTGAAGAAAGCCTGCGCTCGTGGCCTGGCGGGTTCTTAGGAAACCATTCGTTTTCAACCTGTTCATCCGATTCTGCCAAACGGGCGTTTTGCGCCGCATGTCGAACTAATTCGAACGCCCTTGCGCGCGCGGTGGTGGGGGGCACGATCCGTGTAAATTCATACCACGCGGGCCACTCGCGCGCGTCGGCCGCGCGCGCATGTCGCAGTCCTTCAAAAACCTGCATCGCCGACGTGAGGGCATCATCATCATTCTTCCGGCGGGCGGGATCAACATCGGGGATCAACATCGGCGCCGTCATAAGCCTTGCCTACGAGACCTATGTTGCTTCACATCAGCAATTTGGCCCCTGCTGACTTGTTTCAAAATAATTTATCGGGATGAAACGCTGCCGCTGGATATATCGAGCACAGTTGATCACAACACAAACGCTCCTGCGATCCCCGCCAAAATGGCAAGAAATGGTAAGCTCAGATCCGCATGGCTACATTGCAACCGAACCGCTTGACCACCATCTCGACCGAACTGGCGGAATTTGACCACGCGTCCGACAAAATACGTTCGACGAGGGATGCGCTGCACAATGCCCCGGCCACGGGCAGCGCTACGAGGGAAAGCGGGCCCTTCGATGTGTCACTTTCAGCGCCCGTGAAAGTGACACCTCCCAGGGCCCACTTAAAGAGCACCAGAAAGGCTCCAAGAAGGCCCCGAGAAGGCCCCAGGGCGGCACCAAGAGGGCTCCCAGAGGGACCCAAGAGAGGCCCCAAGAAGGGCCCAAGAGGGCCCTCCGCGGTGTCACTTTCAACGCCCGTGAAAATGACACCTCCCAGGGCCCACTTAGGGCCTCAGAAAAGCTCTAAGAAGGCCCCGAAAGGGCCATAGAGAGCCGCCCTGGGTTCAACTCCGCGTGGCGGAGTTGGAAGCGATAACTTCAATACCCTACTGGAGGCCTCTTAGGGGCCCTAAGACGGCACTGAAGAACCCCATCGGGGCTTTTTCAAAGGCAGAGGAGGGCGCAAAAAGGGGCCTCAGTGAGCCCCTGGTCTAACTCCACCTGGCGGAATTGGAAGCGATATCGCCCGGCGCCTTCATGGAGCCGCTCGGAGCTTCCAAGACGGCTCCAGAAGGCCCCAGGAGGGCCCCAAGAGGATCGAACGACGATTCCTGGAAGTGCACCAGTGAGACCCTTGTTGACCTCCGCCTGGCGGAGTTGGAAGCGACAATTTCCAGTGCCCTCTTGGGGCCTCTGGGGGGCCCCTCAGAAAGCTTTGGGGAGCACAGTGAAGGCCTTCGCAGGGCCGCGTGAGAGCCGTACCAGGGCCGCATGTGTGCGCGGATGGGGGCGACGAGTGCTGACGCTGACGAATATGAGAATGATGAGGGCGATCAAGGCTGGCCCGAAACAAATCCTGGCGCCATTGCAGGCCGCCGATTATCGGCCACGCCGCCAGGACGACGCCAAGCAACAAAACGACACCAACCAACAAACCGACACCAACCAACAAACCAACAAATCGACACCGACCAACAAAAGGACACCAAGCAACAAAACGACACCAAGCAACGAAACGACACCAACCAACGAAACGACACCAACCAACAAAACGGCACGAATCAACAAAACGGCACTGACCAACCAAACGACAAATCACTTCACGACACCAATGAACAACGCGAAATCCACCGACCGCCAACCAAGCATAAAATCAACCGACACAACGAAACCAACCCATAGAGCCAGACCAACCACTGGATTCGTGAGTCGGGGTAGTCATGGAAGTGAGCCGCTGCAGCCCGCGGAAGCCATTAACAGTGACCAGAGCACCGCAATGCAGCAACGTCCCCGGGCGGCGGCGGGAGTCTTGGATCTCCCGCGGGACTGGAGCGTAGCGAGTTCGTCCTGGGTCCGGTTTAGTGAAGTGAAGAATTTCGGGGTGCTTGCATGGCAAAAACCTTCACTTCACTAATCTGGGGCCCCTGGAGCCCCAGGGCGTTTCAGGTCCCCTCGCTGTCTGGGTAGTCCAGGGGGCGCAGTGGCGGCTTACCAGAGGCCCTGTTCCCTAGCCTCACTTGCTTTCACCCGTGGTGCTCGACGGCCGTCTCGGAGCTGTCTTGTGGCGGTCTGGGGCAATCCCGAAGCCTCTTGGAGCCATCCCAAGGCCCCAAGGCGCCACCAATGGGGGCCCCAAGAGAGCTCCCAGAGGGCCCCGAAAGGCCTACAACAGATTGCACGTTCGCGCGAATTCTTTGTACCACTTTGGGGGGTCCCTCTTGGGGCCCTCGGGGAACGTTCTTGGGGCCCTCCGAGGGCCCACTGGGGCCCCGGGAAGGCCCCAAGAACGCTCCCAGAGGGCCCCAAGAATGCTCCAAGAGGGCCCCAAGAGGACCCCCACAAGTGACAAAAACTATTTGCATGAGGGTGCAACTTACTCGGCGCCTCTTGGGGCGCTCTTGGAGCCGTGCTGGGCGCCACTCGTGGACGACATGGGCTGGGCGACGGCATGTGGACCCTGTCGCTTGGGCCATCGGGGGTGCTCCCCAATGGGGCCACGAAGCTTGTGAGCGTATGACGGAATGGGCTGGGCGGCGGCCTGTGGGCCCTGCCTGTGGGGCCGTCGGTGTAGCTCCCCGTGGGGCCACGAAGCGTGTGAAACGTATGCCGAAATATGCTGGGCGGCGGCCTGGGAAACCTGCCGCTGGGACCTTTTTTTGGTGGAGCTGCCTATAGGGGCACGAAATGTTTGAGGGTGTCATCAATGTGGCCTGGGCGACGGCATGTGGACCTTGCCGCCGGGACCTCCGATGAGCTCCTCATGGGGACACGAAGCGTCTGAGGGGCGTGCCGACATGGGCTGGGCGGCGCACTAAGGACCCTGCCGATGGGGCCTTCGGTGGAACACCTCACAAGGCCACGAGACTTGCGGGGGATGTGGCGAAGCAGAAACGCGGGGGAACAAGGGGGATGTTTTGATGATGTTAATGAGAATGGTGGTGGTATTGATGATGGAGACGGCGAGAATGCTGATGATGCTGATGATGATGGCGATGGCGACGATGACGATGGACGATGACGACGGAGACACGCGGAGAGCAGGGGCAGATACGCGAAGAGGGAGGACGAGGGAGGGGGCCGGAAGGAATGACGCGGGGCGGTGTCTCTTCAAAACTAAGAACCAACACTGCAATATGGTAGGAAATTTCTGGACGACCCCCCCCGTGGCGCGGTCAATGTCCGCGACAGCATCGCTGGCACTACGAACGAAATGATCGAACTCTTCCTGCGACGTTACCCGCGGGGTGGATCAGCCAGGGATGGGGGTAGAAACCGCCCCAGCGCAAAGCAAATGTACAATCCTGAGAAGCCCCAGCCCACATCAACCGATCCGCAACAAGCACGCAAGCCTTTGACGACCCCAACGCACGTGACATCGCATAACGCGACGCGCCATCGAAAACGTTCGACGCGCGGCCTCGGAATGACATCGGGCTTCATGGAACGTCGAATGGAAAACATGAAAAACCGCCCTGTGGGCTCCGAGACCCAAAATGACTGATGTGAAGGATTTCGGCTCGTCGATTGCCGTCGTCATCGCCACCATCGTCACCATCACCGCGTGCCTCATAATTATGCCTACAGTTGTTGGCGGCGCCATGGTACCGCGCCCGCCCAAATCACCTACTCGCACTGACGTGCCCGCTGGGAGTTGCTCAGCGGTCAGCGCCACCGCGGCCGCGTTCGTCGCGCCGAACTAGCTGGCCGCTGTGCGCGCGAGCATGCGCGGGAGAGCACGGCCACAGAGATGTGCAAGCCAACGCCAAGCACTCATCGCAATCGCAGCCGCATGGGTTCTGCAAGCCAAGTTGCGGGTGGGTGGGCGGGATGCGTGCAAGAACATTGGATATGTTGACTCGTTTGTGAAGATCAGTTACACCCCTTTGTCTTCACCCCCAAGTGACACCACCTAGCTTACACGACATATATTACATAACACATAGCTCGAACCACATGGCCTCCACCTCAATAACTCGCAAAACAGACTTAGCACGAAATAGCGTACAACGCATAGCTTACAACGTATAGCTCGCACAGCCAGCTCACACCACATAAATTTCACGACATAGCTTCCACCACCACACACCTAACACCGCGTAGCTTTCACCACCTCGATGCACTGGACGCTCCCTCCTCTGGGACAGAGCTATTGCCATGAGTGGCCCACGCCCCCGCTGACCAGAACATTTCGAGAGGACTCCAGCCGTGGCGACCACGGCTCTCCAGGAAGAGCAGTGGTATCCGCACCGTCTCCCCCTCCGAAAACTGACTGCCCCCGCTGGCGCCCATCTCCTGGTGCCTTCTTGCGGTCGCTCGCGTCGCCGTCGGCCCACTCCACCACGTAGCTGCCGTCAGGGAGCTCCTCTCGCGGGGGCGCTCGCAGACGCGCGGCACCGCTCCCCACAGCTGGGGGCGACGTCGCGCCCGCCGCCGCTGCCGTGCGCCGTAAGCGTCGGAGGGTGCCAACTGCGGCGGGGAACTTTTGCCTAGCGCGTCGCCGATGCGGCCACAGCAGCACGCTATGCCCTGCGAGAGGATTCAGCCACGCGCCGAGGGGGTATGGGGGAGGGGGGAAGGCTTCTTAGAAGCACCCCTGCTTCTCAGAAGGCGCGTGCCTCATCTACAGCTGCAGGGCCGGCGCCTTCTAAAAAGCAGCCTCCGTCTAAGAAGCCCCCCCCCCTCCTCATCACCCCCTCGTGGGCGCCGCCAGAGGATAGCGTAACTCTCCGCTCCGCGGGGCGGGAGGCTGGGACAAGCTCGGGTCGTTGAAACTTGGGGTCTGGGAAGTGGTCAGCGTGCCGCGCCGAAGCGTGGTGGGCCAGAACTGGCGGCGCGACACCAAGCCAAAGTTCCAGACCGTATACGTGAGGGTCCCAAAGCGGTGCGGTGACACGCCGCGGGGGGACCTCGGAACCCGCAGAGACCTCATCGCACTGGGGCTGGCCATCCTCGGAGAACGACCCGCGTTCCAACACCGTGCGGCCACCCAGAATCGCCAGTGACTCGCCACACGGTGTGGTCACCTCCCTGGGGCCCGTCTTCCGCCCTGACTCGGTCCTTGACGGCCCCAGGGCCCGTTGAGGGCCCCCAGAGCCAAACACTACCCAAAACCGGCCGCTCCACGTTTCCTGGAGTCTCGGATCTCTGTTGGCGGCGCGCACAGGGGGGCCGGGGAAGGGGGGAAGGCCTCTTCGAAGCAGGCTGCTTCTCAGGAGGCGCCAGCCCCCCCATCTATGGACAAGGCCCGCGCCTTCTAAGAGGCAGGGGTGCTTCTAAGCAGCCCCCCGCCCCCTCCACTATCCCATCGGGGGGTTGACCTAAGGAACGAGAAATAAGGAACGAGGTCTCTTGCTTCCTGAAGTTGAACTTCGACTCCCTACCGAAAGCCTCAGGAACACCTGAGGCAAACAGTACAACAACTAAGGAACACGGAGCCCCTTCCGAACGAAAAGGGTTCTCGGAAGCCGGGCAAGGGCTGCTAAAATCGACCTCCAGGAGGTTGTCTTCGTCCTTCTGAGAAGAAACCCGTTGACTGTTTCGCGTGCCGCGCCTCATTCCGGGAAGTTCTTTTTTCCTTCCGGGAGGTCCGTTTTAGCAGCCGCGGCTTTAGTGGCCCTCGCCCAGCTTCCGAGGTTCTTTCTTCAGCGCCCCGGCTGTTCGGGGGCGGCAAAGAGGGGGGCGTCCAAGAGGGGGGGGTGCAAATCATGGCTGGCGACACGTGCGCGGCCCAGGGGAAGGGGCCGGAGACGTCTTGAGATAAGACGAGGCGCCATGAAATCTGGGGAAAAGTATGGCCCGCGCCATGATATCCCCCCCACCCTAGTCATCACTCCCCTCTTTTCCGCCCCCGACCCTGACTTTCCAGGAGGGCTAAAAAATAACACCAGGACCTCGATATCTTAATTCCAGTCGAGGTTTTAGGCGGCCCAGATAGGTCTGTAGGTCTGGAGGGCTATTTTTTAGCACTCTGGAAGGTCAGGGGAGCTCTACCCCCCTCGGCGCGTGGCCGACTCTGGGCGCCCCTCCCCGGCCCAAGGCTCTCCCGCCCGGGGCCGGTGCGGGTGCCGTGGTGTTCGCCGCGCGGCCGCTTTTGCCGCGCGGCCGCGGGGGGCGGCGGCCGGGCAGCGTGCCGCCGGCCGCTGCTGCCGCTCGCTGCCGCTTTTCCCTCGCCGCTTCTCTCCTCCCTCCTCGTCGACGGTCGTCGTCGTCGTCGTCGTCGTCGTCGTCGTCTTCCTCCTCCTCCTCCTCCTCCTCCTCCTCCTCCTCCTCCTCCTCCTCCTCGTCCTCCTCCTCGTCCTCCTCCTCGTCCTCCTCGTCCTCCTCGCCCTCGTCCTCGTCCTCGGCGCCCTCCTCGCCGTTCTCCTCGTCGCCGAGGGCCGCCTCCTCGTCGTGCCGACGGCCCTCCCGAGCTGGTAAGGAGAAGGGGTATGCAGCTGACGTCCCCTCTACAGGGGGGGGCCGGGGAAGGGAGGCTCGGCCGTCCTGGCCGCGCGGCGGGCAGGTGTGGCGGCGCTGGAGAGGCGGGGCGGGTGAGGCAGCAGGAGGGGGAGGAGGAGGCGGATGATGATGAGGAGGAGGAGGAGGAGGAGGAAGAGGAGGAAGAGGAGGAGGCGGGGCAGGGCGTTCTGTTTCAAGGTCTCGACGAGCAGACCTCTGAGCGCAAATGACGGGCAGTGACCCAGACACCCTCGAGTCATGGAACAACGAATCACGACTGAAGGTCTTTCGATGTCTTAGGCCGCTGGAGGCCTTTGCAGGGCCTCTGGGCTGTCAGAAAATAACTCTGGATGAAACGCTGGTCTCGGGGATCGGATCGAAACTTTTTGGGGTCGACGTCGTAAAAAGTCATGACGTCGGGGGGCTGGGGAGGGACCTGCCAGCCCGACTGAGACTCTGACTGGCTGACCTGCGAGCGAGGTGAGTCAGGGTCACCTGAAAGAGCCTGCTCGACATGCCTCCGACCACTCCCCCACCCCTCCCCAGCCGCGGGGCAGGGCGGAGGGAAGAGATGGCTAAGCGGGCATCGCTTCAGCAATCCCTATCTTCACTGGCACGACATGGGGACAGAGGCTGCTCTCTTCGAGCTTCGGGGATTCGAGGGGCCTATCCCCGACTCTGGGGTGGTGGGATGGTGGGGCTGCGATGCAATCGTCTGGTAGGGATGGGGATCGGCTGCAGTCAGGACCTCCTGGATAGCGTATCGCCGCGGCGGCCCCAGCGACACGCTATGCCATGCGAGCGGATTGCGTCTCGCTACGCTCCGCGGGGCGGGCGGCTCGGAAAGGCTCCGGACATTGAAGCCTGGGGACTGCGAAGTGGATGGCGTGTCAAGGCGAAGGCAGAATCCAGACAACATTGGACCGACACACATCGGAAATCTCAGGCGGGTTTGGAGGATGTGTCGGGCGCAGCGGCCATTCCAGAGCGTTCCGGGACGCTCGGAGAGCGTGTCGGAAGGCTCTGTAATAGATTTGTCTCGATTCCAGGCCCGTCCGAGATGGCATGTCGCGCCGAAGCGTGGTGGGCCAGAACTGGCGGCGCGACACGTTCAGCCAAAGATTCTCATCCTACCCCCAACACTGCGGTAATGACTACCTACCAGACCACCCCAACCCAACCCGAAGACCCGAATTTCGGGTGGGGGGGGTAAGGGTTCCACATGTATTAGTTCGATGTTTCCCGACCCCCCCCCCACTGGAAATCGAGGGTAAATCTGAGCCTTCGGGTTGGGTTGGGGTGGTTTGGTGGGTGGTGAGGTAAGGGGGCGAGGGGGGGCCATGCGCCAGACGGCGCACGAGCACGCAGACACCAGCAAGCGCGGCTCGAGCTCTTCGCCGCGGCCGCGCTGCGCTGGAGGCGCTGCGCCCTGCTGCGTCGAAGCGAAGCAGCGCGGGGTGCCTCGCGCGCGAGCCAAGCGCCGGCAGGCGACTGCGCATGGCCGTCTGCCCCCAAGGCTGCCGCGGACGACCGCCTTTTCGCGGGCCGCTTTGGAGGCCAGGGCTCGCACAGGCGGCAACGCACTGACACCTCGGCGAGCTGCCCCGGGAAAGCCACCGGCGCTGCAACACGCCGTCGCCGAAGGAACCACGCCACGGCGTGGCGAGGACCGCCGAGCAGCCTGGGAGGCATGTTTGAAGGGGCCCTGGGACACACAAATAAATACACACAAATTCAAGGATTCCCCATATTTTCGCACATTTTCTGGGTTTTCGTCTTCCCCCCCACTGCCCATATTTTCCCACATTCTCTGGGGAATCGAAGATGAATTGTGTCGGTGTGTTTTTTCCCTCCTGAATGTTGCATGGCCCGCAGGCCGCCTGCGGCTTGCCTCGAGGGCTGTGCTGCCCTATGGTGCAGCTGCCCCTCTCGGCTACGCGCAGGAGTGACCCTGGGTAGGAGTGACCTCTGGTGCGCGGCTTTTTGGGGGCCGCGGGGGGGCCAAACACAGGCGCGCAAGACGCTACTATCGCGTCGCGTTCGGCGATCGTGGGGCCCCACTGGGCCCGCACCAAAGGTCACTCCGGCGAAAGGTCACTCTTACGTCTAGTCGACCCTCGCCGCCCTCGACACCCGGCGCACGAGCCGGGTCTGGAGCTGCTGGCGGCGCGGCCGCTTGGCGAGGCCTCCGCCGCGGGGCCCGCCTCTCCAGGGCCAGCCCGGCTCCGGACCCCGGCCCGCCTTGCAACGGACGCTGCTGCCGCTGGCCCCTCCTCGATCTGGGCCAGCCACCTCTGCCGTCGGGGGCCCGCGCGAAGATCGGGGGCCTCCTGGCCCGGGTCAATCCAGACCTGGGCAAGTCGGGCTCAGCACCCACGCCTGGGTCAGTTGCCAGTGCGCCCCTGGCTCTGCAAGATCCTGCAATATCCGACGTCCCGGCTGACTCCCGCTGGTATCGGCCCCCATCTCAAGGCTCCCGAACAGATGTCTCCGTCCTCCGCACTAGAACTGCCCGCCACCTGTGGTGGCAGTGCTTTCCGAGATCGGCCCCGGATCGCGTGACCCAAGCTGCGAGCTGATCGACAATCGTGCTCTAATGGGCGGCCCGGGTGAACAGCCAGACTTGCACCGTGGGCTGCTGGGCTCGCGCGGATGGTTGCGGCATGCCAACATGTCGACGCTTGACTTTCTACCAGAATCACCCTGTGTCCTCCGCGAGATCAAAAGGTTTTTTCTTTGTGCGCTGGTGCGTACGAATCGGCCGCACGCTGACATGGATTACGGATCCTTGGATCTGGCCCGTGGGCGTCAGATCCACGGATCAGAGAAGGAAGTTACACCGCGAGACATGAAGCCAACGCCGCCCGATTTGGCGACTCAGCGCAACGATTGTGTAAAAAATGTGCCCGTGACAAATCCACGCGCCTGCATCCATGCTTGCGCTGCCTGAGCGTGTAAAAACAATGCGATCAATGAGAACGGACCGCTTTGGGGAAACCAAAAAGCACGCACACCGCTACTCCCCGGACCTCTCCTGGGGTGCGTTCTGGACAGGATCTCCAGGCGGATCCAGCGGTGGCGACGAGGTTGTCCCCGGAGGCCCAGAAAGGGGGAAACGGGCGAAGGGTAGAGGTATGGGTACGTTTTCCTCCTCTGAGGTTGCCCGTCGCAATGCGACATGGTTCCCCGAGCTGCCCAGAGCCCGGTGCCCCGACGCACGGCATCGCGACGGCGCGACTCTCGCCGTTTCCGGCACGCCAGGGCTTGCCAAGTCCAGGGCTGCCCCGTTCGCGCGCAGGTGGGCACCCGACCCCCGGCCAGCCCCCCAAGGCCCCCCCCCGCCCGCTGCTCTCCTTCCCCCTCGTGTGGCGGGGGAGACAGAGGAGGAAAAGGGTGCCAGTAGGGAGGACGAGGAGGATGAGGAGGAGGACGACGACGAGGAGGAGGACAAGGAGCACGAGGAGGTTGACGATGATGATGATGATGATGAGGAGGAGGAGGAGGAGGAAGAAGAGGAGGAGGACGAGGACGAGGAGCGCAGCGCCTCTCGCGCGTCTCCCGCCGGCCGCGCTGGCGCGCGCCCGACGGACTACGCCGAGGCGCCCTCGCGCCACGATGGCGGAGAGGGCAAGAAGGAAGAAAGCGCGGAGGAAGGACGAGTCAAGGAGGATCCCGTCCAGCATGAAGTAGGATAGCAACACGGAGCCGCAGGCGAAGCCAGTGACGGGGAGGGCGTGGACGTCCTCCTTCGTGTGGCCCACAACCCAGACAAGTCACTCACCCAGGTAACGAGCATGAGGGAAACAGCAACAAATCAGACACGTGTGAAACGTAGCCACTCGTCGAGCGGATGGAAGGTCATGTCGACACCTCCCTCCAGCGGGAGGTCCCAGGCAACGAGCGCCCCGAAGACCTTCTCGTGGCTGCACGCCCAGACCATGTAACGACCTTGTGCGCGGTACCGCACAAACCGACAGGGATTTGGTGGGGGCGAGGGCGGCCATGGCGTCGATTACCTGGCACTTCTGTCTTAAGATTACCGCTGACGTGGACCCCCATGTCTTCGGTTGTGCCCGGCACGCGCCGTCTTTGCGGTCAGACTCGCCATGGGCTGTCTGGGCCGTCTTCGCTTCGTTGTTTTGCCGCAGGCTGTCAGTGGCTCCAGGGGTGGACCAAGAAGCACCTGTCAACGAACCAGCAGCGGTAGCTCCTGAGGCCAGCTCGCGGCGCGCAGCCTCAGATAGAAAGCAGCCCTCAAATATGTTCCGAACCACTGGGCTACTTACCGCCGCCAGAGTGGCGCCGCGAGCTTCACCATGGGTTCGGCTCACGGCCATCACCCCGCTAGCTTCGCCATGGGCTGTGCTAGCGGGGTGCGGTTCGCCACCTTGCCTTTGACTTTCAGCACTGACATCGCCTCGACCAGTGAGACTGCACGAACTGTCGTGGACCTCGTCGACCTCCACGCGATGAGCCTCGGAGTTCATGTCAGCCCCCACTCCGAGCGGAGGCCGGGTGCTTCCAGCAGCAGTGCCGCCCGACCCGTGCCCCGTGACCCGAGCGCCGACGGGGGCGCAGGCAGGCGGCCGCGCGGCAGGCCTGATCGGCAAGGCCGCCGACTCAGGAGTGGCACTCGGAGCGGGCACACCCTTGAAGTCGATCGGCATGGCATTCGAAACGGGCTCCAGCTTGGCGGGTACGTCACGGGCGCCCGCCCTTTTCATCCTTCGGTGGCCCAGACGCCACGGGACCACGTTGAGCGCGTTGTTTTGGGACGTCTTTGTCCTGCTCGCCAGCCGTGGGCCCGAGTGCGCCAGTGAACAAACCTGCGGCCCAGGTCTCCGTGCCAGCATGCGCATCTAGGATACTTCCGCCCTGTCCTGGCAAACCTCCCACGCGCCGATCGGGAGGACAAAGGACTGGCTGCATCGCTGGATGGTTGTCGCTGGCCTTCGACTGGGCATTTCTTCGCCCCTCCTCCGACTTTGAATCAGAGAGCTCCGAGGGAGGCACTTGGGACACCTGGGCAACGACCGGAGGAATGACAGAGCCGCCGCCGCCATGCCCACCATCCTCGCCAGCATTATCCGTAAGAGGCTTCTTGGGAGGCTTGGAGAGGGGCTGCGTCTCCGCCCCTACGATGTCTTCGGTATTAGCGTCATGGACGCGCACGCCTTCTTCCAGACCCACGCCAGCACAACGTGACGAGGAGCCAACGGAGAAGGTCACGCCACTTGCAGCCTTATCGCGGGGGACGGAAAATCGACGCTCGTGGAGCGTCGACGCATCGTCGCCCACGTGTTCGACCTCTTCCGCGTCCTTGGGCCCAGGCGCCCCTTTGACGCGCCGTCGACGACGAGGCGTGGCCCAAAAAACAACCGACTGGGCAGGACATGCGGCATCTGGGACGTCAGCTCTTAGACCTATAGCGCCTGCTTGAGGTAGCTGCTGCGCACCGCCACGGAGGTCTCCACGTTGGAGGACAGGTGCACCTGGTGGTAGCACGTCTGGTGGGAGATCGGCTACTGGTGGAGGAATCGCTTCACGCCGAAGGTCCGCACCTGCGTGTCGAAGATGCGCCCCAGCATCTCGGAGGTGCAGATCCCCGTGGTCAGCTCGCGCACCAGCTTGAAGACCCACGAATGGTGGAGGAAGGCCCACTCGCGGAAGATCCACCACTCATGGTCGATCAGCGCCACGCGGATGCTGATCGCGAGGGGGAGGAGCTCCATGTTCACGGTCGGCCTCCAGCGCCTGGCGCAGGGCGCGGGCCAGGCGGGAGAGCTCCTGGCCCCTATGCGCCTGCACCTCCGCGAAGGCTCGCAGGAGGTGCTGGGTGGCCCGCCCCTGCGTCCGCACCGCCTGGGCGCGGCGTGCGGCGGCAGGCCGATTGGGGCGGCGGGCGCCACCCTCCCGGGTCGGCAGCCCCTCCATCCCGCGGGCGGCGGGGGGAGAAGAGGGGGCCGGAGAAAGCGGGGAGGGGAGGGCGCGGGCGGGGCAGGGGGACCCCTAGCGCGTGCTTGCACGGCCCCGAAAGGCATTGGACCGAGTTGGCGCTGAAGGAGGACGAGGAGGAGGTCTGGGAGGAGGAGGGGGAGGAGGAGGAGGACTGGGAGGAGGAGGGGGAGGAGGAGGAGGAGGATGAGGAGGAGGAGAGGAGGAGGAGGGAGGAGGACTGGGAGCAGGAGGAGGAATAGGACTAGGAGGAGGACGTGGAGGATGAGGAGGAGGAGGACTAGGAGGAGAAGGAGGTTGTTGGTAATAATGAGGAGGAGGGGAAGGAGGAGGACGACGACGATGAGGACGAGGTGGAGGAGGAGGAGGAGGAGAAGTAGGAAAAGAAGAGGAGGAGGAGGTTAAGGATGACGGTGATGATGATGATGATGATGATGATGATGATGATGATGATGATGATGATGATGATGATGAGGAGGAGGAGGAGGAGGAGGAGGAGGAGGAGGAGGAGGACTGGTAGAAATACAAAAAAGACGACGAAGAGGAAGAGGACTAGGAGGATCAGGAGGAGGAGGAGGAGGAGGAGGAGGAGGAGGAGGAGGAGGAGGAGGAGCGGGAGGTGGAGGCTGACGATGATGATGATGCTGCTGCTGATGAAGAGGACGATGAGTATAAGAAGAAGAAGAAGAAGGAGGCGGAGGAGGAGGACTGGGAGGAGGAAGAGGACTCGGAAGAGGAGGAGGAGGAGGAGGTTGATGATGATGATGATGAGGAGGACTGGGAAGACGAGGAGGAGAAGGAGGACTAGGAGGAGGAGGGCTAGGAGGAGGAGGACTAGGAGAAGGAGGAGGACGAGGGGGAGGTTGATGATGATGATGCTGCTGATGATGATGATAATGCCGATGAGTTTGACGGGTGATCCCCGAAGGGGATCCTATGATGATGATGATGATGATGGTGATGATGATGATGATGATGATGATGATGCTGCTGCCGATGATGATGATGATGATGATGATGATGATGCTGATGATGATGATGATGATGATGATGATGATGATGATGATGATGATGATGCTAAGGAGCAGGAGCAGGATGAGGAGGAGGAGGAGTCCTCCGCTATCTTTGCGGTGTACCAGCTCCTCGCCTTGTACAGCCCCTGCACGACCTCGCCGACGCGGTACTTCCGTCGCGCGGGCTCCCCCTCGACCTGCGCAGCAGCGAGGCTGCTGCTGATACCTCGTCCTCCCTCCTCGTCCTCCTTCGTCCTCCTCCCCTCTCTCTCTGTCCTTCTCTCTCTCTCTCTCTCTCTCTCTCTCTCTCTCTCTCTTTTTTCCCAACCGTCCTGTGGTGTTGGGTCCTCGTTTTGAAGAGGCGGTGCCCCGCGTCTCCTTCCTCTTCCTCTCCTCCTCCGCCTCCTCTCCCCTCCTATCATCCTCATCATCATCATCATCATCATCGTCATCATCAGCATCATTATCATCATCATCGTCATCAGCATCCACATCATGGCCGCCATCATAACCATCATCGTCATCATCACCATCATCGTCGTCATCACCATCATCGTTGTCCTCGTCGCCATCATCGCACGTTTCGTGGCCCCATACGGAGCTCCACCGAAGATCCCAGTGGGTGTGCCCGCATGCGTCCCGCACGCCCATTTTGGCACACCCCTCACACGCTTCGTGGCCCCATAAGGAGCTCCATTTACGGTCCAAGTGGCGCAGCTCGCATGGCGCCACCGCCCCATTTTGGCACACCCCTCACAGATTTCGTGGCCCCTCAGGGAGCTCCTTTTGGCACACCCCTCACACGCTTCGTGGCCCCTAGGGAGCTCCACCTAAGGTCCACGTGGCGCAGCTCGCATGGCGCCACCGTCCTTTTTTGGCACACCCCTCACACGTTCCGTGGCCCCACAGGGAGCTCCTTTTACGGTCCAAGTGGCGCAGCTCGCATGGCGCCACCGCCCCATTTTGGCACACCCCTCACAGATTTCGTGGCCCCTCAGGGGGCTCCACCTGAGGTCCAAGTGGCGCAGCTCGCATGGCGCCACCGCCCCTTTTTGGCACACCCCTTACACGTTTCGTGGCCCCTCAGGGAGCTGCACCTAAGGCCCCAGTGGTGCAGTTCGCATGGCACCCATTCACACGTTTCGTGGCCCCACAGGGAGCTCCATCTCAGGTCCAAGTGGCGCACCCCACATGGCGCCGCAGACCCATTTTGGCACACCCCTCACACGTTTCGTGGTCCCATAGGGAGGGAGGAGGAGGAGGAGGAGGAGGAGGAGGAGGAGGAGGAGGAGGAGGAGGAGGAGGAGGTGGAGGAGGAGGAGGAGGAGGAGGAGGAGGGCGAGGAGGAGGACGAGGAGGAGGAAGAGGAGGAGAGGAGGAGGAGGAGCAGGAGGAGGAGGAAGAAGGACCGCCGTGGCCGCTGTCGCCGCCGCCGATGCCGCCGTCGCCGCCGTCGCCGCCGCCGTCGGCGTCATGCTCGCGGCCCCACAGGCGAACGGGAGAGAGGGTCCCCTCCCCCTCCTCCTCCTCCTCCCTCCTCCTCCCCCTCCCGCCCGAGTGGAGCTCAGTGACGAGCTTCGACGCCAGATCCAGGCTCGGCGGGATCAAGCTCGTTTCCGCCGAGCTGTTCGACGCTCGCTTCCTGCAGGAGGCGTCTTCTCTTCTGCTGATGCTTGTGCGCCTCCTCTCCCCATGGAGCGTGAGAGACAGGCGCTACGAGCGCACTCCCTCCTCTGCAGTGCTGCAGGGTGCGGACCAGGCGCGGTGGGGTAGGGACCCCACCTTTTCTTTTTTCTGTGATGTATTGTGTCTCTCTTGCACTGCGCTTGATTGCCTTTACATCGGTGTTGTAGGCTGACCATGAGCCTCAGAGTCCAGTCCAGTCCAGTCCAGTCCTCCTCGCTTCCTTCTCTTTGTTGCCCGCGCGCATCATCATTGTCCATGCTTGTTGAGTCCACTTAGCTGTGAAGCCATCCATTGCAAAGAATCCGAACCATCGCGGCGTGTGGCCTGGCCCCGACCGGTGTCTAGGATTCTTCAGCGACGGGTGTCTCATGGCCTCTCCAACCGTACGAACGGATTCATAAAGCCATGGACATAGATGTTCGTCGTCGTCGTCGTGGTCGTCGTCGTCGTCGGTGTCGTCGTAGTCGTCGTCGTCGTCGTTGTCGCCGTCGTCGCCGCCGTGGTCGTCGTCGTCGTCGTCGTCGACGTCGTCGTCGTGCTGCGTCGTCGTCGACGTCGTCGTCGTGCCGCTGTCGACGCCGACGCCGCCGCCGCCGCCGTCGTCGTTCATAAGAGCGCGTTCTGATGGGTTGTGTTTCACGTAGTGTGCTTGCTTTCATGGGCGCCACTAACGCAGATTTTTCAATTTCGCGTCCTGCCAGGTAGATGGGGTTCGCCGTGCGTGCGTGGAGAGTTTTCGAATGCGTAGAAGGACAAGACCATCGCGATGTTTTTGAAATTTGTTTTCTGGGGGTCGTTGGAGTGTTCGTCTTGCGGCGCCAGTAACGCCGATTTTTCAATTCCGCGTCCTGCCAGGTACATGGGGTTCGCCGCGCGTGCGTGGAGAGTTTTCGAGTGCGTAGAAGGACAGGACCATCGCGATTTTTTTGAAAATTGTTTTTGGGGTCGTTGGGTGTTCGCCGTGCGGCGTCACTAACGCCGATTTGTCAATGCCGCGTCCTGCCAGGTAGATGGGGTTCGCCGTGCGTGCGCGGAGAGTTTTCGAGCTTTCCTGGGGGATATAGATTTTGGTTTTGATTTTGCCATGTTATATGGGCGTTGTTACCGACCACCTCTATGTTTGTTATATGGGCGTTGTTGCCGACCACCTCTATGTCGTAAATGTGGTTCCCAATGTCGGTTTGTTTTGTTTTGTATCCCGCCTTGCCCGCTTCCCCGTCTGCGCGCCGGCGCGCGTGGCGTGTCAAAGCAAAATCCACTTGGGGAAGAATCCGCGCGCTGAGGTTTTGATGCGGACGTTCTATAGATTTGTTTCGAACTCATTGCGAAAACGTTGCCGGGATACCTCCAGGATTTTGACAATAAAATCCTGGAGGTCTCCTGCTTTTCACCGGGTGTCTATGGCGACGTGAAAAACACGTCGCGCATGCGACTTGCGCAGTTGCTTCGATCCGTAGGACGTCAGCCTTAATGTCGCGGCGACGCGTCGCATGACAAAAATTAAGGTCCCGAAACTACACCCCAGCACGCATGAGTGGAACGCAACATGTCTCAACCGATGGCTCGTTACTATGAAAGCAGCGGGCCTCGCGTGCGCCAGGTGCGCCACGTGTTCGGGTGCGCCAGCACGCATCGTGCAGCTGTTGCAACTTTCCTGCGTTATCCTCTGCTTCCTCCTGTTCCTCTTCCTCCTCTTCCTCCTTCCTCCTCCTCCGCTGCCTTCTCTCGACTGCCCGCATAATTGTTCGGCCTCGCGCCGCGGACGACCCGCGCGCGTCGCTGGGACCCTCTCGGGGCGACCAGCGCGCGTCGCGGGGATTCCGCGCGGCGCTCTGCTCAACGCCTCGCTCGCCCGTCGTCGCTCTGCCCAGCGGCCGGAGCCTTGCCCGCAATCAGCCGGCCGGCTAGCTCTCTGTGCTCCGCGCAGCGGACGACCTGCGCGCGTCGCTGGGACCCCTCCGCGGCGACCTGCGCGCGTCGCGGGGACTCCGCGCTGCTCTGCGCCCGCAGCTTTGGATTTTTTGGAACGCGCAGGCAAAGAGGGGGGAAAAGAAGGGGCGGAAGCGGGTGCGATCCCCGTTAGGGGCGTGCCGACATGGGCGTCGCGGCGCGCGGGCGCTGCCGTCGGGGTTCCCGCGGAAGCTGCCTGCGGCGGCCACGCCCAGTGTCACGAGTGTTCGGACAGGCGTGCTCGAGCCATTCACATTCATATACATTTACACTGGGCGTAGCCAAGATCGCATTCATGCAAATATACTCACTCCCACGCTGACCCATTCACACTCAGACTCTCTCGCGCTCTGGCTCACCCGCGTTCATTCTTTCGTAATCTGACCTATCGTATTCCTTTGCGTTGTGTGCCCCGCCATATTTCGGCATACCCCTCATGCGGTTCGTGGCCCCATAGGGAGCGCCACCGAAGAAGGTACTCACAATTGCGGCACTCACAACTGCATATGGTTGGGTCTTTCGCCAAGATATGTTTTTTTGTCTCTCTCTCTCTCTCTCTCTCTCTCTCTCTCTCTCTCTTTCTCCCCCCAACAACCCCTCCTCACAGACCTGCTGTCCATGTTCCCACTCGCTCTTTTCTTAGTCCACACCCCCTCTCTTCCTCCTCCGCCTCCCTCGTGTCCTCCTACGGGGGGCACAGACGGTCAGCGACCTTGCCAGAGAAAGAGAGACAGAGAGAGAGAGAGAGAGAGAAAAAAAAAAAAAAAAAAAAAAAAAAACGAAAAAGAGAGACCTACCATGAGATCCAGCGTTGCAAAAAAATGCAACATCGCAAGCAATGACGACCAGAGCCGTGGACCCCATTTTTCTGCGTCGTTGAGCGAAAACACCGTTCCCGTTGATCGAAATTTGGAATCCACGAACATGTGCTTTCTGATGGGTGTACGAGAGAGTCAGGGGGAGCCAACAAAAAAGAGTGTGCGCGCAGCTTTGCCAGGGCGACGCGGGACCCGAGTTTGGGAGACTCGAATTGGCCCAACTGGGCCGTCGGAAAGATGGCGAAACCCCGTACGAGACTGGGCGCGAGCTCCCGCTGCAAGCATCCCACTAGAACTGGACCGCCCAAGTCCAAGGCGGGCCCGCCAACAAAAACGTCGGCGAACCCGAGTTCGGGCGAATCCGAATCTGTTGGCTACCCACACGAGCGACCCTTGGCAAGGGTGGCCTTTGGTACGCGTCTTTCGTGGGGCGTGCAGCTTTTTCAGCCACCTGGGGACCCCAGTGAGCCCGCACCAAAAGTCACTCCCTCGAAAGGTCACTCTTGCGAGTGGCCGAATCTTGCCCTGCTGCAGTGGGGGAACCAAAAAGCGGCATAAATTGGAGGTCCGCGCGGATTTCTCGGATCCGCGCTGGGGCCCCCCTGGCGGCGCCTCCGGCGCCGCCCCCGGCGCGCTCCGCGCGCCAGGGAGGGGGGTCCAGCGCGGATCCGAGAAATCCGCGCGGACCTCCGAGTTTGAAGGGGAACTGGGACACACAAATAAATACACACAAATAGAAATAT